AAAAAAAAAAAAAAATAAGGAAATACTGTTATTGCTATTCATAAGTCGTATGTACCGAAAAGCTATGCACCATTAAAATTAGCATACAAGTTTTAAAATTAAGATAATTGCGATGAAGCCTTAACGTGACAAATTTTCAAATATTTAAAGATATAAAAGTAATGGTATTCTTTGTTTTTAAACATCCCGAAAAAAGTTTTTGTACTTTATTTTGAATTTTATCCTAAACAAATATTAAAGCATTTTCTTTAAATTCACAAATACTATTCTCACTAAGATTAGAGTCTGAATATATATTTATGGTTCAGTTTATTGCCTCATTAATCATGAGAAACACAGTGGAGTTAAGATGACAAAGAAGGCAGTTAAAAGATCAACCTTAAAACAAAATGAACTGAGTTTTTGCCACAAAATTCTTATTTTCTAATCATTTATCTTTGCTACCTGATATCATATATCTTTGATATTTCTTTCAGATCAAATAATCTATGTTTAAAATGTCGACAGGGTTTACACTATGAGATTGCAAAGATAAAGGGATTATAAAATATGAGTTTACAACTCAATTCCTTCATAAAGTTTTCTTACAGCATGAGATTTTAGTTCTGAATATTTCTAGAAACTAGGTTTATCTCTTGGAGTATAAGAGAGGGTAGTAGATTAGTAAAATGTATTATATACAAACTAGATTGAAAGGTCTAGAAACTAAGTTTATCTCTTGGAGTATAAGAATAGAGTAGTAGATTAGTAAAATGTATTATATACAAACTAGAGAGAAAGGTTGAGAAACTAGGTTTATCTCTTGGAGTATAAAATAGAGTAGTAAATTAGTAAAATGTATTATATACAAACAAGAGAGAAAGGTCTAGAAACTAGGTTTATCTCTTGTAGTATAAGATAGAATAGTAGATTAGTAAAATGAATTATATACAAACTAGAGAGAAAGGTCTAGAAACTAGGTTTACCTCTTGTAGTATAAGATAGAGTAGTAGATTAGTAAAATGTATTATATACAAACTAGAGAGAAAGGTTGAGAAACTAGGTTTATCTCTTGTAGTATAAGATAGAGTAGTAGATTAGTAAAATGTATTATATACAAACTAGAGAGAAAGGTCTAGAAACTAGGTTTATCTCTTGGAGTATAAGATAGAGTAGTAGATTAGTAAAATGTATTATATACAAACTGGAGAGAAAGGTTGAGAAACTAGGTTTATATCTTGGAGTATAAGATATAGTAGTATATTAGTAAAATGAATTATATACAAACTAGAGAAAAAGGGAAAAAATCAAATATAAGAGAAAACTAGCTAAAGAAAGAAAGAAACCAAACTTAGATAAAGTTTAACTAAAATTATAAACAGACACAAAAAAGTTGAACGAAAGCTTAAAAGAACAAAAGTTAGCTTTCAAGTTTTATTTAACATTTTATAGATTACACGACTAGCTTTAAGAGAAAATAGAAAAAAAATTGTAGGAATAAGAATAAATTAACAGTAATAAACCTTCTAGAAAGAAAGAAGTTTTTCTAAAAATAAAGCAAGTTAGTTAGAAAGTAAGTAAGAAAGAATACTATAAAGAAAGAAAATTCTAGCATTTTACAGAAATAAGGGTGGAAGAAAGCTACTTAGAAATAAAGTTAGTTAGCTAGAAATAAAGCTAGTTGGCTAGAAATAAAGATAGTTAGCTAGAAATAAATAAAGTTAGCTAGAAATGAATAAAGTTAGCTAGAAATAAATAAAGTTAGCTAGAAATTAACCAAATTAGCTAGAAATAAATAAAGTTAGCTAGAAATTAATAAAGCTAGCTAGAAATAAATAAAGTTAGCTAGAAATAAATAAAGTTAGCTAGAAATAAATAAAGCTAGCTAGAAATAAATAAAGTTAGCTAGAAATAAATAAAGTTAGCTAGAAATAAATAAAGTTAGCTAGAAATAAATAAAGTTAGCTAGAAATAAATAAAGCTAGCTAGAAATTAATAAAGTTAGCTAAAAATACATAAAGTTAGCTAGAAATAAATATAGTTGGTTAGAAATAAATGAAGTTAGCTAAAAATAAATAAAGTTAGCTAGAAATTGACAAAGTTAGCTAGAAATAAAATAAAGTTAGCTAGAAATAAAACATAGTTAGCTAGAAATAAATAAAGTTAGCTAGAAATAAATAAAGTTAGCTAGAAATAAAGAAAGTTAGCAAGAAAAAAAAACTTAGCTAGAATTAAAAAAAGTTAGCTAGAAATAAATAAAGTTAGCTAGAAATGAATAAAGTTAGCTAGAATTAAATAAAGTTAGCTAGAAATAATTAAAGTTAGCTGGAAATAAATAAAGTTAACTAGAAATAAAGAAAGTTAGCTAGAAAAAGAAAGTTAAGTAGAAATAAAGAAAGTTAGCTAGAAATTAACAAAGTTGCTAGAAATTAATAAATTTAGCTAGAAATAAAGAAATTCAGCTAGAAATAAATAAAGTTAGTTAGAAAAAAAAGAAAGTTAGCAGAAATAACAAATTAAGTTAGCTAGAAATAAAGAAGGGAAGAGCGATATGAGAGCTAGGTTTAAAGAACCTTTGCTCAAACTAAAGAAAGTTATCTAAAACAGACAGATAACTAGAAAGTATATCAATGGCTAACTAGAAAAAAGAAAGCTAGCTAGAAAGATACCAAGCTAGTTAGAAAGATAGAAAGCTAGCTAGAAAGATAGAAAGCTAGCTAGAAAGATAGAAAGTCTAGTTAGAAAGATAAAAACCTAGCTAGAAAGCTAGAAAGCTAGCTAGAAAGATAGAAAGCTAGCTAGAAAGATAGAAAGCTAGTTAGAAAAATAGAAAGCTAGTTAGAA